GGACGATATATGCGCACCAAGCCATTGCTTACGTTTGATCGAGGGACGGATCATCTTCGATCAGACTCCATCAAAATCATATCTACGCGTAATTGCAGCTTTTCGGTCACGGATCACTGACTGGATCGCGGCGAATAGGTGTCGGCGAACATTTAGAGTCGTGTGTTGCTCGACGGTGGTTTCGTTTTGTCGGAATTGGCTGAGCTTCCGCAATACATGTGTCTACGCGGGAGATTCCGCTCCATTTCACATAATGATGTGATGACAATAGAGAACATAAACAACGGAAACGTCGGACCGATCGGTAGTTCAACCCACCGACCGACGAACGGACGCGCGGATGAACGAACGAACGAACCTCTGACTGACACAGGGTCGGACGGGCCGACATACAGGCGGACGGTCGGACGAACTGGCTGACTGAATGTCTATCTGACTCCGGTTCGACTAGCGAACGAAAGTAATAACAGCCACATTCCGCTTTGATGTGTTCAATGTTGCATATACGAGCTCCGTAACTCACTTTCCGTTTTGACAATCCCGGAGGGTAGCCGTCGGCGCGAGAAAGGTCAGGAATGCGACAGAGCTACTCCTCGAGCTACTGCCGTCTGCCTGAGATCCCATCGAACCCCCACGATCCGGCGTGCATCCGCTCGCACGACGACTGGGGTCGCGCACGTAGGTCTTATCGCTGAGATCCTTCCAATCGGATGGGCCTTTCGATTATTATCGAACGGATCGTATTGAGCATGGAACCGACAGCAAAATCCATGGGATCGTTCGACGATGGTAAGTTCGATGCTGCCCACACTGTGATCAAGCATGGACAAGGTCGTCTCGCTAGGAGCGGTCACGAGGGACCAGAAGACGCGAGCCGAGCAAAAATCGCGAAAAAGCCAAGATTTCTCACCCTTGCAAGAACAACAATGACGGCGGCGATAAGAATGGAGGAGGGAAACGTTCGAGGAGCTCCTTCGAGAAGTTGAGTTCTTATACGAGGCCTTCCTTCTTCTCGTACACCTTCCACGGGAACGAATTTCGAGTGGATGCGGGCGGCGTGTCTATATGATGGTGGACACGATATCGACGGGTGATGTGCTACGCCATAGACTCGTCAACTCCAGACCGCGAATTCTGTGCTCGCTTGGCGTTGAGTCGGTGAAACTGAGCGCTTGGACCATATATTCAACAACGGTCGAAATGTTTTCCGTCAGAAAGATGGAGGAGGAACGTAAAGTCTCAATCGAAGTCGATGGCTACCTTCGAAAGAGCCGTACGTCGCTCGCAAGAACATTCATGCGTTTCATATGCATAGTCATGCCGATCAGACTCTCTCGTTTGGGTTGTGGGGAGAGGGGCGTGGGGTAGGTGAGCGACGCGTGACTGTATTGCCCTACCGTCGGAATTCGGCGATGCCTGGCCGCACCAATACGGAGCAGGAAGCTCCAATATGATTTCAGGTGAAGAACGACCTCCTGTGTCCACGGCGACCCTCATTGCGTAATGCGGCTCATATACGAGAGGTTAGTTTCAGCCGTGACGTGTGTTCCCCCTTTTACAGCGACAAGGAGTGCTTGACGTCACCCGAGAGAATGACGCTATCCGCCACAGCTCTAGGCAGATGGCTTCAGTGCGAGAGCCTTGAGTCGAGAGCTTCTCTGCTTTTGCCTTGGAAGGTGTCAAAATTGGAGTCGAGATCCCCGCGCGGATCATCCATCCAAGGGAAAAAATCGAATGTGAATACAGTCGAATTCAAATTCGGATCGGTCGTTTGCACAGTAACGAGAACTCGCGCCTTATTGATACTCTTCGGACAAGCATTTTCTGTTGCATCGGAGCTGTCGCGGGGCGAATCAGATGAAGGAGGACGTCAGTTGGAACGAATGCCCTCGATAATTCTGAGACACAGAGAGTTCTGACAGAGAAGTCCGTCTCGTTGGCGGGGAAATTTCGGTCAGTCTCGTTGTAAACTCCGTCTTAATATGACCGCGTCATCCGTGAGCGGCGCAGGATTCGAATTGAGTCACGTTGTAGCTTCCCGCCTGCCTAGTTATCGGAAACGACGACACACGAAATACACGCTACACCGAATCCCGAATCCAGAGCAGAGTCCGAAACAAACATAGGTACTTTATGTCTAATAATACACGCATATGACAGCCAGCGACGTCAGGGAGAAGATTTGCCGACGACAGCACGTGTGTGCTCTCGAGCAGCTGACGTGACCTCGTTCCAGAGTGACAACTTGGTCTAAATAAAGTTTCTCTCTATTTTTTTTTGGGTGACCACTCCGCGCGGACCAGAAAAGAGATTTCAGGCTCGTAATGAATTATGCACGGACATAGTGGTGGCTTCTCTTCGCTTAGGTCAACTCTTTCTCTTTAGCTGCGTATTTTCCCTATCGGCACGTGTATTGCCCTCGACACCGTCCTAACAGAAAGTACAAGAGGTGCGGCTAGAGATCCTCCGCTCGGTGGGAGGGGGGGGGAGAATTTAATTTGGAGCTTCAGCTTCGAAACGGAAGATCCCGAATGTATCCGCGAGCCCATCAGAGGTCCGCCAGGGTCCTGACCACGATCAGTCGGGCAAGGGCGAAAACCAATATGTGATATTCTATTCGCGGATCATTCCGCCCAAACGCGAAAATTGCTGCAGAACACCCCGATTAGCAGTGGCGAGCACGACGACGACGGAAGAACGAGGATGAATTTGAGAAGTGATCCAACATATGGTCGAACAGCACGAGAGCTCCATTCTTCAGCTCGCTCGCTCTGAATCCGGAGCGCTTGCGGCTCAAAACCGAGAACCGCGCCGTTATCGACACGCGGCGCATCAGTGTGTTCTTCAATGGTGGTGCAGCGTATTTTGGTTTCGTCGCTGATATCGCTGGGGAAACTCCTCAGCTGAGATACGTCCCCACAACGAATTCGGTCCGATGGGAACAAGGACGATCAGTGACTTTAGAACAGCTCGCATGCCCTTACGCACGGTAGGATTCATTCGGAGCGGAGCCTTGACGCACTCGGCAGCCCTCAGTTTGACGAATGTTGTCAGAAGACCTAGGAGCCGATTCTTGTTCGCTGACCATGATGCCGGGCGACTACCGCCGAAGCAGGCCGTCTGCTCTCTAGAGTCACCCTCACCACCACCCCACCCTGCACAAGGCCGAAGTGACAGATGGCGCGGAAGGAACTCAGTCAGCGACTGGGGGCCGGGCGCTGGGGCGAAACGTCAGATTCCTGTTCGACTCAGATAGAGATCCGCACAAAGACACGCACACGAACGCACAATGATGAAGGGGGAAGGTAATGCTGAAAACGGAATTCCGAGTCGCACTTGTGCCGCTGAAGTTTGCTCGGTGACTGGAGCCCCTGAACTTTCGAGCATGCTTCTGAGCTCAACACAGCTGAGAGCGCTGTTTGAAAGCTCGCTGTGCCTGCTGCTGCGGCTGCAGTTCTGACGGTGCTCTTCCTCCTGGCTGGATTTGCACGGGAAGCCTCTCGTTGATGACGGCAATCACAGAACCAGCTTCCAAAAGAACAAATATCCATTTCCGTGTTAATGGCGGTATTGATTTCCCTCGAGATTTCGATGTCCTTGGCTGACATCGATGATGTGGAATGAGTTCATGTTTTGAAAACTACTCTCCGCGGGCGGAGCAGCATCATCATCCATACGTCGAGTCGTGCCGCCGCCGTCGTTGTCGTCGACGACGTCCTTCGCTGCGTCCGTCCATCTCTCCATCTGCTTGTATATGCAGCCAGCAGAGCATGATATTTTGGGCAAGCCATTCTCGATTCTAAACTCGTTCTCTTCATCTAACCATCACGGGCAAGCGGTGCAGCAGGTATGTCACGGACGTCTGTACGAAAGTAGTGGAGTACATCGAACATATAAGCGGTCTGATAATTGTTTCAGAACTTCACTCTTCCGTACATCGCTGGTTCTATGAAACGTTCCACATTTTGGAATCTTTCACAATTTCTGCCTTTCCCCAAGCGTATTTCCGAAGATTCCTCATCCGGAGTTCTCGAGGCGGATGTTTCAGTTTGCGACGGAGAAAGAGTGAGCGCGGTCGAGGAAAAAAATCGAATTCTTCTTCTGTCTGCCGAACAGGGACCAATGTCAGACATGCCGTACGGATCAGACTCGGCGCTGATGCCAACAGTCGAGGAAAGCAAAAGTCTTTTACGTGATCAGAAACTGCTGGATATCTTCTTTCGATGGATACGAGCATGGATTCCCGGAGAGAACAAATCACCGAAAGGGAATTCTTCGCGAATTATCATCCACAGGAGTAGGGATTAGAGTCTCTGATGTCAGATGTTCGTCGACGAGATGCTCGTGGCAGCAGATGCTACTTAGAAGTTCGAATTGACTGAACGAGGCAGAACTCTTCTTCGCGGGGCGCAGGGCTGCGCAAGCGAACGGGCTAGCTGGACAGCCATCCCCGACGATCAACATTTGAAATTCTCGACACGTAGCTCGCAAACTCTTGAAGTTCTTCTTCCTCTGAGCCGCGTCTCGTTGATTTTTTGCCGTTGGTTGATCAGGGAATTTATTTCATTTTTCCACCGTTCCCAAGTTTTCCCGGAAGGATGAGCGGCCTGGACAGCGAGAGGATCTTGAAACACTCCAGCGGTAGAACTTCCCTTCTTTACCAGCTGAGTTTCTCGGTTTTGTTTGCGTCATTCAAAATCGTTCCATTCGAGTCAGGTAGCGCAGACTTTGGTGCACATGTCAAGAGCGACGCATGGCCTCCGAGCTCCCTTTCCCTTTGTTTTGTGAAACAGATGATGAACGCCTGCATATCGTTAGAGAACACTCGTTTCACTCCGAGTTAGACGACGACGGTTGGAAACCAGCAACACGTGTTCGGACTGGACAACAGGAACCCTCATGTCGGGAGGAAATGTCGGCTGCGGGAAGCAGAGAAACTTCAGTCGACCGGATTGATAGGGATATCTGAAAATTCTGGGATTAGGCAAATGATGAGATACCTTTGCAGATTCTCATGAAGTTAAGGTGACAGGTCCGCTCTGTTTTCGGTCCCTCTCCGCTGAGCTAGCTTGATGGTAATTCCAATTGAGTACACTTTCGAACTTCACTGATTGACGATGGAGTTTAATTTGGGCGAACTTCACGCCACTCCAAACACAAAAACTTCACAAAAACCCCCTCAGAGATGATCAACATTTGAGAAATGTCGCGCTTCTGTCACTTTCCGAACGACACTCACACGTGATTCCGGATCGAACGTAGCCGCCGGCAAGGTAGTGTTCAGGCCGCGCTTCGGAAGCCGACTGAGCAGCCTGTGTTTCGAAAATCCCGCTCTCCCCCCGAGAACTAAAATGCTGGGGAAAGTGTGGGTTTTCCCTCTCCGAGCCGACGGGAGGGAGAGAGATCACAATCGTCTGCTTCGAATCACGCAAAATGAGGGATCTCACGGAAATGATGAAGCTCTCTGGAACCGCCGCATCCGGCTGCCAAGGATTCCAGCACATCGGGTCTGAGAGGGTCCGGGTCTCAAGCGGAGCTCGATTCTCGAGGTTTTCGTCGCAGCGCTTCTGAATCCCGCGCCGAGACCCCTATGGCGTGCAACGCCGCCGACATGGGCTCACGTTGTCTCCTAAATATTTTTCTCGTCTGCTAATCCGGTACAGTCAGATGTGTGGAGCGGTGGTGGTGTTGGGCTGGGCAGTTTTGGAAAAGCTGCTCGCAAATTAAATTTCACGACGTTGCACGACGGCAACCAGCCTGCGAAAATCGCTGGAAGCTCAGCGTACCGACTATGTGAGCCGAACCCGGCTGTGGAAGTCACATTCACGGAGAGCGCGAAAAATGGAGATATTCTTCCCCAAAGTCGTCAATTATGTCTGCACTTGCGGTGCGAGGAAACCCTTGGACGTTCTATTTTACTGCAAGCATTGTTTCAAGCTGAGATGCGGCGAATGCGTCTCTCATGAGGTAAGAACGCCATCCGGAGCGCAAGTTCTTGAGGCTCATGTTTGAAGGCTTCAGGGTTGCGAATCAGCTGTCACTCGAAGACTTTCGGACATGACGCTGCCTCGATGAGCTTGAATCAACGTTGATTCAGATTTTGACTTTCTAGGTCGATACCCACTACTGCCCGAATTGTTTGGAGTTCATGACATCTCCCGAAGCGCGTGTTAAGAAGAACGTGTGAGTACTCCGTCGGACATATGCAGTCTTCGTTGCTGATCAGCTCCTTCTGCTGAATGAAAACGCTAAACTTTTCCGCCGGTAGGTGCACGACCTGTTTCGAGTGCCCGTGCTGCGGTATCGCGCTGTACAGCCGGGGAACCAGCAAACAGGTTCCGTCCGAGAAGGATCCGAGCAATATGGTGGTGAACAAAGCTTATTATCTCATGTGCAACTCCTGCAAGTGAGTCGCGTTCCTGTAAAGTCACCGAAGAAATTGGTCTCCGAAATCGTCCGCTACTTATGCGAGCTTGCTTCTCCCGACCTATATCTACGTGAGCGTCTGAGATTTGAAGCGGTTGTTTAGATAACAAACTAAAGCTTTCATCTTCTAAGGTGGTCCACCCATGATCAGTCTTTGGAGGACCAACCTACGCAGTCCGGCGGATGGCCGCGATTGGAAGCTCCGAATCAAGATCGTGTCCATCAATTATGCGAGTATTATCGGATCGTAGCACACCAGGAAAAAGTTGAGAAAGACAAGAAACGAATAACTCAGAAATGTGGCTACTACATCAGCGATAAATACGGAGTAGCTAGCGTGGCCGCTAAAAAGTACATGAGTCTGCAAGTGACGCCGAGAAAGTGAGTCTCGAACCGCGAGAAATGGCATCAAACCGGATGGAGCGATCCAAGTCCGTCGACCTGATATTTACATCGATCCAACCCTTGTAGGGAGTCCCAGAAAGTGGCGGCGGAATGTTTCGCGTCGAAAGCGAGCGAGGTCGTGGATGACCTACCTAGCGATTTCCTAGAGGAACTGAATATCGACGAAGTTACGAACATACGGATGCGCTTGAGTAATCCCGACATTCAACCAGAGAAAATGAGCATGCTGAAAATGAGGAACCTCAAGTTGCTCACCAAGAAGTCTCAAAGGTGAGTACTCGGTGCAAGTGCTGCGCTGACGCATCGTCACCATGCGGAACAGTCTCCGCAATATCGGTGCTCGTTCCAGATGTAAGGAGTGCGGTCACTCTCTTCGCAAGTCCGAATACAACCCTGGATCGGTGAAGTTCAAGATCCAGCTGTCAGCCTACTACCACATCCCATACGTTCGGGTGAAGCAGGTTCCCAACCTGATTGCGGGACGAGAGGTTACCATAGAGCTGACTCTGACCAATCCGACGTCGCACGAAGTTGCGGTTGAGCTCTTGCCGATGGAAGAGGCCAATACGCCTTCCGGCTCGGGACTCCTCTTCCCAGAAGTAACGTGCTCCCCACAACTACCAAAAGGAACCCTCTACCTGCCTGCGAAGGATGATACTGCCGAATACGATGATCCGGCAGACAAGATGGATGACAGGAACGATAAAAGGTTATTGTCGAATTGCTCCCTCCGATTTCCCTACCTTGACCCGAGGTTTCCCACATCACATTTCATGATGTCTACTGGATGATCCGATTTCTCGTTTCTAGCGTCGTGACTTTCAAGCGTCTGAATAAGCTCGGGATCAAAATGCAAATTACTCCGAAACAAGCTGAAAACGTTGCGGTAAGAGATACCGAAGATGTGAGAGTATCGAAAGCGCTCATGACGCAGCGAATGGGAAGCTTGTTTCGGTTACCTGGACAGAAGCGATCAAGTTCTTGAAAATTTCAGATTGGCCTCCGGCTGAAGCACACCTACACAAATCTGATCATACAAGGTGATAAGCGAGAATACGAAGTTTTGTCCCTCATTCATCCCGTACTTCTGAACCTCAGCCACTTCGCCAAGAACTCGATCAGTGCTTGATCGAGAATGTATAGCGTGACGTTTCCGAATATTATTTAATGAGCAAATATTTATTTATAAATGTTCATGGAACTTGAAACAATCTTGTCGTTCATCGGGGGTTGTGGAGCGAAAGGCAGAAAGTCTCGCGAAGCGGCTTCCCACGTCACAGTCAGGGAGTTCTTCACATTATGTATTTGATCCATCATCCGTGATCCAAGCTCACGAAGGATTATTGATTACTGTGGGGCCATAACAATTATGTCAATATTTCTGAGCTGAAGAGATTTCGACTCTGCAGTTTGATGACTTCGTTTCCCGCGCAAACCCAATTCGACTTCAAGGCTCGAGCGAATAATTCCAAACGCCGTGGCTTATTCCAATTCGCTCCGAAGATAATATCCAAGACTTCGTCCAAGTTCGGTTTGTGGGAGTGCACCGCACTCGGAACGGAGACCAGAATCAGCTGGTCGCTCTCGATGCTTTTTGCTGAGAACGTAGCGTCAGGTCTGGCCGCTAGCAATAGATGCTCGTACGGCTTCTTGAAATTACGTCCGAAGGGGCAGATTTCTTTCCCAGAGGTAGTCACTTTTAACCAGGTCCAGTTGGCGAGGATCCGCAAATTCCAATGAGCCAAATGATCTTTCAACTGACGATAGTGTCGCTCGTTGTGTGTGTACCAAACGACGAGCAAACCATCGTCGTGGAGGAGATTTGGGATCGGTACCCGAGAAAGTATATCTTCAGCAGATTCAGTCATGTAGCGCCGTTGTCTTTTCACGGATTTGTTCATCCAAGGAGGGTCCATGACGATAATGTCGTATTTGCCTTCACTCCCGTATAAATCCTCGGCGGCTTCCAAGAGCTTCGGGGTGGTGAGGTCAACATCGAGGGAACCAAGAATGCCACGAGACATCGGAGGCAGTATGAACTCCCGCTTTTGGAAAATGAGGGTCTCGGAACGTCCCGAGACTTCGGCGAAAGTAGTAGACTCGCATCCTTGAAAGAAGAAAGCTGAGGGACAGCTCGCAGCTGCAGCTTTCGCTGCCATGTTCAATCTGTCTGAATCACGCTGAGGCTCCGAAACAAAGAGCTCTGGTTTGGATTTCACGAAGTCCCTCAATTTCTTCTCGATGGTTGCATCTGATTGCCAGTCGGCTGTTGCGTCAGCGAACTCTGGACAGGACCGTTTACTTTTGCCTTTCTTTGGATCATCATCTCCGGGGATGGCAGCAAACTCTGTCGAGATGGCGAACAATTCCTCTTTCAGAAGTAGGTCTGCTCTTCCGCTGCTCAGCTTGCTGCTTCGTCGATGATCCAGAAAGATGACATGGTCCATCTAGAATGACGCGGAAGCTGTCTTGATCTGAATGTCAGAAATTCTCCGAGTGGAGACAAGGCGCCATTCTCACTGGGGCTCGGCTCGCAGCTTAGTGGATGTCATTCACGAGTACCTCCGTTCTCGCTAAGAAGGAAGTCCGCACGGTGCGCGATTACCTTGTCATACTTTTGGTTTCTTTAAGAGGTGGGCCGATCCTGGATGTAGTGCAATACCAGGCCAACCCGCGGCCGAGGTGGAGCAAGCCCCGAGCACTCAGCCCTGTCCCAAAAAATAGTTTAATATCTTGGGGGACGATGTCCCCCGTATCAGATATTAAGCTGATAAGAACAGATACTACACTTTGATCTTAGCCAAAAGGCCGAGAAGCGATACCTAGCAATGGTGGGCAAAGCCAGTCCTACACCCAGAGCTCGATGCGCCACCTGCTCCTCGACGGGCTTCCGAACCAAATCACAGATCGGGCTCGACCTCGGAGCCCTCTCTCCCGAGACGCTCAGGGACTTGGATAGCTGAGCGGGATTTCTATAAGTCTTTCGGGCGCCTTGAAGTACTCACGGTAGCAACATCGGGTTTTCCTACGATTTCGAACGCTCAATGTGCCTGTATATGAGCGGTTTGCCGGGGTTGACCGATACCCGACGGGTTCTCCGTAGAAGAGTCATAGGCGGCGCTGCGGTCGTCGGCCCACCGTCGGGCGCGGACTCTCGCATTCACCCCACGATCGGAATGACTGACAGCAATCAGCGAATTTCCAACGCGGCAAATGAATCACTTATACCCATAGACTTTGAAGCTCACATGGAAGATACAGGAGGAAACTTCTTCCTTCTTTCCTCTCGGTGATTCGCGATCGGCACCAGGATGTGCGCGAGAGAGACCGTTCGGCGCGTCCGTCGTCTGACCTCACAACGAATCATTTCCCGTTGAGTAAGACGCAGCAGCTGTCCAGGACAGCTGTTATCCCTCTCCAGGAAAACCCCCCGCATGCCCTTCGAGTATCGCCGCGGGCGTTATTTGTAGAAGTCCGCGATTCCGAAAAAGTTCTGGGCAGGGGGCTCAGCTCTGGACTCTCCTCCTACAAGTGGATAACCCGATCGGAATTCGGAATCGACGCGAGCGGGCCTTCGGGAAATCCGAGTGGGCTGAGCTCCCGCGCAATCAACCCGCCGAACATTGTGGTACGTTTCGTTCGAGTTTCATGATATGAGCCAATCCTGGACTTACTTCGTTGCCGGACGAAGCCGCGACCGAGGTAGAGCAAGCCTCGAGCGCTCAGCCCTGCTCTGGGGAAAAAGTCCAATGTCTTAAGGGACCATGTTCCTCGTTCCAGATATGTATAGAGCTGATAGGATGGAAGGATACCACACTTCGATCACTTCGGTCACTTTGATCTTTGAGGCCGAGGAGCAATGCTTGTTGAAGGGAGGGGGCGAAGCCAGCACGATCTTGGAGCTCGGAGCGCGAGCTGCTCCAGAGCGAATCCTCAATTCTTCCTCGGAGTCCTAATGAAGTCCCATGCTCTATGTCATTCGTGCGAACGTATCCCGTTGAATCTTCGGGAATCTTGCTTCATTTAGTCAGGTGGGGGCGATAAGATTTTCACTAAAGATCTATCGCGTTCCCTTGCGAATTCGGGGCCATGGTCCGCTTTTGAATGCGGTCGCAGACGGTGACCGATACCGAACGACGCCGACGTTTCAATGGAACACCCATATGCGGCGCTACATTTGAGGACTTTTTGAGGGAGAAGTCCCCTCAACAATCGACATGACCGCAATCAGCGGAATTCCGAAACGGAGAATGCAGCAATCAGCCGAATTGACTTCTGCTTTGACAAGCGACAATAAGAGGAGCAATGAGACTTCTTCTCTTTTATCGGTGATTTCTGAAGGGCAGAGAGGTGCGCGTGGAGGAAAGCGACCAGTGCATTCGCGAAAATTCGGTCGGACCACGCAACGAACCATTCCCGGCTAAGACATGGCAGCTGTCCAGGACAGCTGCCCTCCGTCGAGAGAATATCACGCAGACCCTTGGGGTCTCACCTTCGATACAGACGGCTCAAAGTTTTCATAGGTGTTTGACCGAGGGAAATGTCTCGCGTCAGATATTTGATACCGGGAAAGGCTCCAATACGCCAATACGTCGGTCTCGAATGATATTTACGTACACGAAAAAAAAACAGCTCTTGAGCATACTCGCAACGAGCTCAAGAAATTTTCTGTGGAGCGATTAGATAACGACCGCTCCTCAACGTCGCACTCTTGATGACTCGGATGAGTCGTTCTGCACGGTCGAAGAACAGTGTCGCCTCGGAATGAGCGTTGACTTACAATGAAAACAATCTGTGTTCTGTGCAGCTATCTATCTCATGATCTCTTCCGTCGCAGCCGACTATCTCGTCGAAGTCATCGGTCGTGAGAAAAAGTGAATCGAAGAGTAAATCAACGGATTGTCGCTGAATTTATTGGTACTATCATCGTCTCGAGCGATTCAGTTCTCCGGTTCTTCTGAAAATTCGTAGAATCTCCAGGACAACGGATATTCCTCAGAGGCTACACTGAGACAATCGAAATAGACAGAGCGCTACTGCCTAATTCGCGACGGGCGTCTAATATTGTAGAAAATCCCATATTTCCAGAACCTCCAGAACATTAAGGAACTCACGCTTTCTCTCGAGTCCCCGCAACTCGTCCGCGGCTTGCTCATGATCACCCTCGTCTCCATGATCGTCAGTTGTCGGGAATGTCCGAATAGAAGGCCCCTGAAGGCTTATCCTGCAGCGTTTTGTAGATAGTTTCGTTCAGTTGTTCCGGGTAAACGAGTTTTGTCACTAGGGGGCAACGAACTCGTTTCCCGTTCAAGACCTAATAAGTTAATGAATTCAAACAGTTTGCCAACGTCATTCCCCGATTGTCCAGCCCGATATCGGTGAACTCGCGACGCTCAAATATATGCAGAATGTATACGAATAAATATAAACGATCGAATAGATACGATGATGGGTCACAAAATGTCGATGTTGTCGCCGACGCTCGAGACCGATGCAGGAGCATAGAAACCTTGCATGCATCCATTATTCTCTGCGGAATACATATACAGAAGATACCGCATAGATTTTGCAATAAAATTGGGGGAGGAGTTGTCTCCTTTTTGGTCCTACCTTCAGATCCGAGCGTTTCTGGAAATGTTCTCAGCATCCGATCATACTGAGCCGCCCTCTCACCTAAGACTAGGATCTGACTGAGTCGCGCTCGCGCAGCATTTGCCGACAATTAAAACCTCCATGCTCTGGAGACGAAGAGCCATTGTCAAAGACGCTCGATGTTCTTCCGGAGTAATGATTACAACGGAACTGACGCTGACGGGCGGTGTGTCCCGAAGTTCTGCGAGCTGTGAACGAGTATACGATAACTCGTGGGGGAATTCTTCAGGTACCGCTCAGGACAGTAATTATCTGAATGAAGAGCTGTCGACCCCGATGTTTCGAGAACTTCATTAAATGTTTCTCTCGCATTGAATAAAGACGTCTCTTTCACAGTGTTCTCATGCTAGGAGCGCAATTCGTTCGCTCGTTGTCGGAATAATTCTCATCATCCTGTGAGAGAATCGTCTTCTGGAAAGTCGGTGTTTCTTCGCCGTACGCCATGAGCTGCATTTCCGATGCAGTACGCAGTCACGCGTTTCTGTCACGGCCTTCCGATCTCTATCCCTCTCTGTTTGCGAGGACTTTTCACGAGAAAATACTGAGCGGAGCGTCCCGAGCAAGAAAATATCCGACCACTCTCAACGGAGAACTCATGGATAGAAGCAGGCGGGGAGGGCATGAGCTTCCCAAGTCTATCAAATCTTATTTTCGTACTCCATCATCATCATGAATGATGATCCGAAGATCAGGTACTACGATTTTCTATCAGGTTTCCATGGTGGGACGAGAGGAGAGAACGGCTGTCCTAGACTGCGTCCAGATCTCAAGCGATGGATTGTATTCAGGGCAGGGGATCCCTCGAGCAGCACAAGCCGAAAGTGGGGTTCTGCTCAGAAAATTTGAGCTGAATGAAAACTGATACGGCGCATTTTGTAAACCTCAGCCAATCTCCTGTTGTGTCATCAGAGACATTGACCTATAACGGTTGAATGACTGGATTCCCGAACACGCCTTTAGTTACTGGGTCGTAATTCGAGACGGCATTCGAGTAGCTTCGATCGAGAAGAATGTCGAGCTCCGTTTCTATTTTCAATGCAAACGGAATCGTGCAGGTTCTAGCGAGGGCTCCAGCTCCCCCTGCCTCGGAACATCGGCCAGGAAGCAATCGTCGTTCTTCAAGCGCTCCCGGTAATGGAGTTATCAACTCCTCACGAGCTCTTCTCGAATTCCGAAAACCAGTCTAGTCGAGCAGGGCTTCCATTGGGGCAAACTTCCGCATGCACGAAATCCCCAGGAAGAGAGGCATGAGCCCATTAGGATTTCATGGGGCAGTGCGGCGAAATCTTTTCCTACACTGCGACACACAATAAACTCAAGCAATCGATCGGACAACGATCCACCCTCCGGTGCAGCCTCTGTCATCGACTCCCCAATCTAATGAATCAGCGATCGTTGTGTCCAAGTACGCGAGGCCAGAATTTCCCCGGGGGCGATCAACGAAACACGAGGGCAATGATTCGTCGGGTGAGCGAGTTCATGTCATGCGAGGCTCTGAGATCCTATGAAAGGATTCCACTCAAAGGTGGAGAGGATGGCTCGATGCCAATATCCCGAATCGGAGCTCCATCGGCAGAGCGCCATGCTCTTCGCTCCGATTTCGGGGGTTCGAGCATTGGAATTTTTAACGGATGTTCTGGAGTACGGAGGAGAAGATCAGCCCAGACTCCGAGCTCCACCCATGTAGCCGGTAGAGTTCCCTTCCAACGAAACACGACGCAAGCTAGGAATCGCGTCGATTTTGTATGAGTTGACCGTTAGTTGCGCGAGTCATCACCATGCCGGGCATGCGAGT